GGTCCAGGTGAGACAAGTCCAGGTGAGACAGGTCCAGGTGAGACAAGTCCAGGTGAGACAGGTCCAGGTGAGACAGGTCCAGGTCAGACAGGTGAGACAGGTCCAGGTCAGACAGGTGAGACAGGTCCAGGTCAGACAGATCCAGGTGAGACAAGTCCAAGTGAGACAGGTGAGACAGGTCCAGGTCAGACAGGTCCAGGTGAGACAAGTCCAGGTCAGACAGGTGAGACAAGTCCAGGTCAGACAGGTGAGACAGGTCCAGGTCAGACAGGTGGGACAAGTCCATGTCAGACAGGTGGGACAAGTCAAGGTCAGACAGGTGGGACAAGTCAAGGTCAGACAGGTCAGACAGGTGGGACAAGTCCATGCCAGACAGGTGGGACAAGTCAAGGTCAGACAGGTGGGACAAGTCCATGCCAGACAGGTCAGACAAGTCCAGGTCAGACAGGTGAGACAGGTCCAGGTGAGACAAGTCCAGGTCAGACAGGTGAGACAAGTCCAGGTCAGACAGGTGAGACAGGTCCAGGTGAGACAAGTCCAGGTCAGACAGGTGAGACAGGTCCAGGTCAGACAGGTCAGACAAGTCCAGATGGGACAAGTACAGGTCAGACAAGTGAGACAAGTCCAGGTCAGACAGGTCCATGTCAGACAGGTCCAGATGAGACAAGTCCAGGTCAGACAGGTCCAGGTGAGACAGGTCCAGATGAGACAAGTCCAGGTCAGACAGGTGAGCCAGAACCTGAGTCCAGTCAGAACCTCTGAGTCCAGTCAGAACCAGAGGACCCTGAACCTTGGACCAGAACTGATCCTCAGCAGGTCTGGTTCTATAGTTTTATAAAGTAAATAAATGTTTCTCAAACAGGTTCTGGTTCTGATTGAAGCTGCTGGACCCTGCAGAACCTTCAGCAGTTGTCAGTCTGCTTGAAGGGTTCTGGACCGTGTCAGTGGACCCAGCTGGTCCTTCAGTCCATTAAAATACCAGTCTGAGTGGGACCTGACAGGGTTCTGACCTGTCAGCTCCTCCAGATAAAACCACCGGACTCAGTCCAAACATCTGATCCAGACCCTGGACCCAGGTCCAGCTTACTGATTGGACAGATTCATGATGACATCATCAACTTTTTATTTTCTAACTGAAACAAAGACTTTAAATAAAATAAATCTGATGAAGCCCTGAAAACACACACACACACACACACACACACACACACACACACACACACACACACA